AACACTTGATCACATCTACTATCTCCCAAATGGCCAAGAAAGACCATCCTAATTTTGTGTCTTAGTTTTAGCATGTGAACGACACATTTGAGATGCCTAGATTATATCCATGCTGTATTACTAGAAATTAGGACAAGCTTATCAGGGTTTCCCTTTTCCTTTTTGGTGATAGTAAGCTGTCATTAGCATCATTATTCTGCCAGTCATAAGAGAAAAAGGTCTTTTATCGCATCTTTCATGTCAATTGAAGTATACAGCACAGTGTCATAACTTTGTGTTACTTCATGCCAGGGTCGATTTGACATTCTCACTCTAGCTGGATCTTATGTACGCACCGAGACTGGAGGCAGAACCGGTGGGCTGAGTGTGTGTCTGGCAAGTAATGACGGTCAAATTATTGGAGGTGGAGTTGGTGGTCCCTTGATTGCTGGAGGCCCAATTCAGGTTTTCTATTTTCAAGAATATTTTAATTTGTTTAGTATGATCTTAATTCTTAGCCATCAACAGAATTAATTAAGATATTGATCTTAAGGTTAGCTTATAAGAGATTAGATTAAAAATATCTTCAAGGGTACCAAGCAGCTCAACAGTTGTCATGCTTTCTCACTGATAGCTTTTTACCTAACTTGAGTCTCTTTCTGTTTCTTCATTTCTTCCTTCTTTTATTTCTTTCTTTTTTTTCCACTGATGAAGTGGTTGATGTAGTATCTCTCCATGTGTAACATTGAAGTTCTCTTGTGATAATACGAATTTAGTTGTACAAGTTTAGACGATCAAAATGTATATTTGACTCTCACCATAAAGGAAAAAGACTCGTTAAAAACATGAAGTAATTAACTTACCAATCAAGGACAAGAATCAGTGATCTATTTATTTGCTCATCTTTCGTCACGTTAAGTTCCTATCTTCTGATAGCTTGTCATTGACTATGTTGGTAGGTGATTGTTGGCTCATTTTCAGTTGACTCAAAAACTGGGGGACTAAAGCATGATACTTCCGCCCAATTTGGTGGATCACCATTATCATTTCGTTCAATGGTTGATTCTTCTAACCAAAGTATGGGTGGAGGTCAGTTTATGATGCCTTCTCGCGGTATGCAACCAACACCATTACATTCAACTGATTGGAGAGTTACCACCGGTCAGGGCTTGCACCAGTCTCCAGAAAATGGGGACTATGACCACCTTCGAGATTAGCTAAAACGTGACGTATTAGGAGTAGTGTGATAAACTTTCCTAAGTTATAGGTTCTTTTTTCTAAGAGAATATACACTCTTTACATTTGTACATGTTAGCAACAAAACCTTCCCTGTAGTGTCTTCATTGCAGATGAAAACTGCTCCCAAATACTCTGATGTCTAAACCTCAGAATTTCTTTTCCAATTCTCTGAATAACTTTGCTGTCTCTGTCTTAGAGTTGTTTATTTCTTTTTGTTGGTTGAGTATGTTTAGGATTCTTTATATTTCTGACTTTTGTCTATACTGATGAAATAAGAAGTTAATTAGGTCTGTGTTTACCTAGTTGTATTAAAAATATATCATGTCTAGTCACTCTCTACTTTTGCTCGGATAAAAACGATGATGTTCAGACCACCTTGCTTATTACTAAAGAAATCATCTAACGATTTTGACCTTGTCGAGGTCTTTCTTTTTTGAATAAGGTTTTCAACTACTTCATTGTGTCCAATAGTCTCTACTTGTTATCTCATAAATTTTGTTTCTTCGAGAGACGCAAATGAAGATAAAAACTATGGATAATTTGTGATTAATAGTAAAGGAAAGATAATTTGCTCGCTATTCGAACTTAGAAAATTAAAATTTAGATTGTTGACCTATATTATGTGGCAAGTGGACAAGTAAAGTCATATTAAACATGTTTATTTGTTTAAAGTTTTCAAATTATAATCTCAATTTGCCTATAGAATATTTGATGTGGAAATTTGTAACAAGACCGTTATAATATTATTTATATTATTACACAAGTCTCGATGTGTTTTAGAAAGTGTATTATATTTTAAGTTTTTTTTTTTACATTTCAATATTGCCCTTATACTTTGGTTAAATATTCTTAATGTGTAAAGGTCAATTTGGTCATTTCAGTTGGAAAATTAAGAATCAATTATCCATTAAAAAGTCCCAATTGGTAATATATTGGATCATAGCAAAATTGCTAAAAAAATCTTTATTTTTTACTCAAAAAGCAATAATTATAATATAATAATATAACTAGTGGAATTGCACAAGGTTTGAGGAGGGTGATTAGTACGCAACTTTATCTATATTTAACGAGGTGATTATTTTTAATAAGTATGTAACTTTATCGATTCAAATAAAACATAACAAAAAAAAAGCGAAAAGTATCACTACTAATAAAATACATAAAATCTTTTATATCATCAAGCTAGGTAAAATCTAAATATAAGTGAAATTTATAACGTTTTTAACTCGATTTATTAATAAAACAATAACATGAATTATGTGAATTAACGAATATTACGTTACGAATTCTGAAAAAACTTATTTTAAGTTCACCAAATATCTTTCACTAAGGAATGGACCAAAATTGACTATAGAAAATGTGTATGTGATATAGTATGTCATTGTTTGAAGTTCTTTTTCACGTGTCCCCTTTTTGATTATTATTTTTTTTGTGTATATTTACTAAAAATATACAAAAATAAAAATAAAAATATAAGATATTTTTAAAATTTTGTTAGTTGAGGTAGGGGGACAATATTAATTATTATTATTAGTTCAACCAACATGGAAATGATATTTTTTCCTAAATTTGTATAAATCATATGTCTATTCCATATTGGTTTACAAATACGTGTCTCTACCCCCTCACATTTCAATAATTTGAATAAAAAAAATTTATTTTGCGATGATTTTTAATTTATATTTTAATTATTCGTTAAAAGAAAATTTATAAAATAAAATATTTTTATTCACACATTTATTATTTTAAGATTTTAAGAACTAAATCATGTGTGGTATAAATTATGTTTTGTCTTAATTTATGTAATAAAGCTATATTCTTTGAATAAGTATACAAAATTTATTAACCTTGATCATGTCTCTAAATTCAAAAATACGAAGCTATTCTAGTTATCAAAACAAGATATGAAATACTTAATGATTTATTTTTTATATGAGAAAATTTATTTATATTTTTACTAAAATAGTGGAATAAGGTAATCATACGATTAAAAGAATACTCATTAATTATATGAAATTATTTATAAATATTTAAAAATTATTATTCTTACTCCATGAAATCGAACCATAGATCCAATGATTAAATTCTAAAATGACAAAACTTAATTAAATCATAGATTTAGCTCATTGATTAACTTTTAACGGTCAAGATAATGCAACGTCATTGCATGCGACTTTTAATCACACTTTGTTATGCTATTTATCAAATATAAACCGTCTGATTAACCCCATAATAAGATCCACTAATCCACTTTGCATCTGTGATTAGTCCCCCTCTTCTTTTTTTTTTAAGGAAAAATATTCGATAAATACTTCTATTATATTTGTTAATTCTCCTTATATTTTGAAATAATTTTATATTATCTCACTTTTTAATAATTTTATATCAAATTTTAAGTGAAATGCACCTAGATACATATATTTTAATTGTAAGATATACTGAAATGGGAAGGAGCAAACGAAATAAAAGGAACGCAAATTAGATTCTCAAATACATGCATATTATAGTAGATACATGTATCTAAGATGTATATCAGATTTAAGGAGAGAGGTGAACGACATATAAGAGATGATTACATGTGAATCTAGTTGAATATATGTTGATTTGACTCGAATCTTGAACCTGATCTTGAATCCTACACCGGTTAATGATGCGATGGGGGAAGTTTTTCTTTTTTCATCAATGCTGGCCCAGTAATATCTAGAATAAATTATACCTAAGTTTGATTTCATATATCTGATAACCGACCTTCTGGTTAGAATTACTTTTTTTATGTATATATATTAAATATCGAATCCCCTTTCGATTAGTTTGCGTGTTTAGTTTTTCATATTTTAAACTCTCTCATTGAAAATTCTAACTCCGCCACTGTCTTGATCTATATACATAACATGTATCCGAAATTTAAAATCTGATAAAATTCGTAACATTACAAACTAGCTTGAATCTAAGTAATTAATTTATAAAGTAGTGAGTTTTTTTCTTTTAAAAAAAGTTACATTTTTATTCGATATTATGATAAATCGTTTTTGACAAAAGTTATTCCTTACCTAGAGAAATTCAAATTTAACGATGCTAATTAAAGATGAAAAAAAAGTTACTAACTTAAACTTAAGAATTCTAATTAAAAATAAAAAAAAATACATATCGCTCCGTCAAACCCGCTAATAATAATATTAAAGAACATTGTATAGTACTTACAACCTAGTAAAATAAAAAAAATACATTATAGTACCTATAGAAAAATGGGATTTTTGCCAAAAGCACTTTTGAGTTCCATACTATTTTAAGAGCCTTATTGTGATTGACAGAAAGTGACATGGATTAAGAACGTCTAGGTTCTCTTCATCTAATCTTTGAGGGTCCCAAAAAATTATTTTTTTAATTAATATAAATATGAAAAAGAAAAGAAATTTATTGGAATTTTCCTCTTTTCTTGATCTTCCTTGTTGATTTCTTTCAATTAAAAAAAAAAGGAGTAAAAAAGGGACAAATTAAAGGTGTTGTCTTTCTTCTTCAACACAAAGAATAGAGTCAAAGAATCTAATGAGTATAATGTGGTTTTAGTCTTCTCTTGTTTACTCACTCAAAATAGTAATAGTGGGTCATTTATTTGGGGGGTTTTCTTGGTTTTTTGTGGGTGTTGTTGTACTAACTTGAGGTTTGACAAGTGTGTGTATGTGTTTGTGTGTTTTGGGAGTTTCCCATTTCAAGAGGTGGAATTTTGGCAAGAGGGGTTGTGTCTTTTTTTGTTTTGTTGGTATCATTTTGACATAAAGTTACCTACTTTCACCTTCTTGTTTCATTTATCTCTCACTTTTTGCAATTAAGGGCTTTTAAAGATTTCATTTTTGGGTCTTCTTGTATTGAAGATTCCTGAAAAAAGTTAAAACTTTTTTGTGATACAAAGAATTTCCTGTGGAGATTTTAAAGCTCCACAGGAAGGTGTTTGTGTTTCCAAGCCCATCCTGATTTTTTATCTGCAGATTTTTGCTTAAGGTCATCCATTTTCTAATCTTTATTCTAGTTTTTTGCTCTATTTCTTCTAAAGATTAGAACTTTGATGTTGTTTTGCTAGTTTTTCTGTTTTTGTTTTTTTTTGGTTTCATTTTTGCTGAGTGTGCAGAAGAAAATCTAAGGAGGCCTTTAGTGGGTGAAGGAATAGTTGATGAATTTAGTTTAACTGAAAATTTGGGAACTTGGGTCAAAAGGGTATGCTAGATCTTTTGGCATGTATGTATGTTAGATCTAGGCATGTGCCAGATCATTTTTATTATTATTTTATTGGGGCTTGTGTTATCTGGGAATACATTTAGTAGAGGCTTAAGCCAATGAGATCTCATTCTTGTAACTTGGCTAATAGTCCAAGGGTTGTTCTGCTTTTATCTTAATTCAGTTGATATTTCCAGATAATCAAGTTTTGCTTAGTGGATGGACTGAAAAGGGGGATTGAGATGTTGGCAATGTTAAGGTTGTTGTTTCTGGTACTGTTGATTTCTTTGGTCATTATATCTGTTTCAGCTAATGATGGTGAATTCTTCAATTGCTGTGATGAAGATGGTTTTTGGAGTATACATACTATTTTAGACTGCCAGAAAGTGAGTGACTTCTTTATTGCTGTTGCTTACTTTTCTATCCCTCTTGAGTTGCTTTACTTCATTAGCCGCTCGAATCTTCCTTTCAAATGGGTTCTAGTTCAGTTCATTGCTTTTATAGTGCTTTGTGGATTGACACATTTGCTCAATGGATGGACTTACAATCCTCATCCTTCTTTCCAATTGATATTGTCCCTAACCGTTGCGAAAATCCTTACTGCCCTTGTATCTTGTGCAACTGCAATCACCCTTTTGACTCTGATCCCTCTTCTCCTAAAGATAAAGGTCAGAGAACTTTTTTTGGCACAGAATGTTTTAGAGCTAGATCAAGAGGTTGGGATGATGAAGAAACAAACAGAAGCTAGCATGCATGTCCGTATGTTGACACACGAAATTAGGAAGTCACTTGATAAGCACACAATATTATACACTACACTAGTTGAACTTTCGAAAACCTTAAAGTTGCAGAATTGTGCTGTTTGGATGCCAAATGAAAGTAGGTCACAGATGAACTTAACACATGAATTAAGCCCCAGTTCTGCTGCAGAAAGTCATCGTTCACTCTCAATTAATGATCCAGATGTGTTGGAGATAACAAAGAATAAGGGAGTAAGGATTCTGAGGCAAGATTCAGTTCTTGCAGCTTCGAGCAGTGGAGGATCTGGTGAACCATGTGCTGTTGCTGCTATTCGGATGCCACTGCTTCGTGCTTCGGACTTCAAAGGTGGGACTCCAGAGTTGGTTGACACTCGTTATGCCATTTTAGTTTTGGTTCTTTCAAGTGTTGATGAGAGAGTCTGGAGCTATGATGAGATGGAGATAGTGGAAGTAGTTGCTGATCAGGTGGCTGTGGCTTTATCCCATGCCACTGTTCTTGAAGAGTCTCAGACGATGAGGGAGAAACTAGAAATGAGAAATCGTGTGCTTCAGCAGGCTCAAGAGAATGCTATGAAGGCAAGCCAGGCAAGGACTTCGTTTCAGAAGGTGATGAACAATGGTATGAGGCGGCCTATGCACTCAATCTTGGGTTTGCTCTCCATATTTCAAGATGAGAAAGCAAGTTCTGACCAGAGGATGATTGTTGACACAATGGTGAAAACAAGCACTGTTCTCTCAACACTAATAAATGACGCAATGGAGATATCTGCAAAAGATGATGGAAGGTTTCCAGTAGAAATGAAGCCCTTTCAGTTGCATTTACTGGTCAGGGAGGCTTCTTGTCTTGTTAAGTGTTTGTGTGTCTATAAGGGATTTGGGTTTTCTACAGATGTTCCCACTTCTTTGCCTAATCAGGTGATGGGCGATGAAAAGAGAACTTTTCAGGTTTTATTACATATGGTAGGACACTTATTAAATGTCAGCATTGGTAAGGGCTCTGTTATATTCAGAGTCGTTCTAGAGACTGGAGCTGAGACTGGGAATGACAAAGTTTGGGGAACAAGAAGACCAAGCACGACAGACGAATATGTGACCATAAAATTTGAAATTGAGGTTAGCCTTGAAGGCTCTCAATCTGATAGCTCAATCTCGACTATTCACTTTGGTGGAAGAAGGCATAACAGCAAGGAAGTAACGGAGGGCTTGAGTTTCAACATGTGCAAAAAGCTTGTTCAGGTTGGTTAGAATACTTGATATTGTTTCCCGATTGTTCTTTTTGTTATGTTGTCATTCAGATTGGTTCATCTTGCTAACAAGTATCTGTATATGATTAGAGCTCTTGATCATGAATAAGAAGTAATGTTCATGGGTTGTGTGATATTCATATGTGTTGGCATGTAGGTCTCCCTGTTGGTATTGACTATGTCTTTACCTAGAGAATTAGGGGTAAGTCTGAGCTGCATACTATAATTGTAGTGGTAGAGAAAAATAGCAAAGCGAGTTCATGGAAGTAGTCTGAAATGGAGAGAGTACACATCATAATCTAATTTTAGATTGTTAAAATGTGACGATTTGTAGAAGTGTACCAAACATTTAAACATCCTAAGGTGGAAAATTCATAAACTTAAAATGGTCAGAGGAGTTGCATGTTCTTGCACAAAAATTGTCCCTAGGTTTCTAAGAAATGCCACACAATTTCAAATTATTTGAGTTGAATTTGAAGGATCTATCCTACTCCCTTAGGGTTCAGGTAACCGGTAGGATCACCTATTAAGAGAAAGAAGGAGAGGAACTTGAAAAGGGGGTGTTTGAATTGGCTTTTCTAAAAGTATCTTATAAGCTAAAAAGTAAAATCCATAAATTGGGAATACTGAATTTTCGGCTTTTAGCTTATTTTTGTACTTTTTCAGCCTAAAAGAAAGTGCTTAAAGGCACTGAGTGTCTTTCCCAAACACCTTCAAAAATTAGAAAGAGCTTTAAAGCCAAAAACTACTTAAAATGAGCCAATCCAAACACCCACTAATTGAAAATGTAACCTCCCCTCTTTCTTATTGACTACTGCTTAGCTGAATGATCTCAGAGAATAAGATGCAGCTTGAGGATTTCTTTCTTGTGCAGAAGATGGTTCTTTAATACCTCTTCATCTGTAAATCTTTGGTAAAGAGCTTTGTAGGATGCAATATGCCAGGATGATTTTTGTCCGGTTTCCTCAAGTTTACCTATTAACTGCCAAATCTTCCATATGTTCATATTATGCTGGCATCAACCTCTTCGTGTTTATGTTCTAGTAGAACCAATTCGGAGGGAGAAAGTATATGCAATTAGAACCCTCATGACTTGAGAAACTGAAGTTATATTTCTTTAGAACTCTATCTTACCTATAAATAAAATTGAAATAGGGAGAGACCTGAAACCCATGAAGAGACTGACTACCAAAAACATAGCATGTAAGTCAGCCTTATACTGACAAGAGTAGGACTGATTTTTTTAATTCCTTTTGCTAACAGTGGTGTCCGAGCCATCTTGGTGCGCACCCCGAGTCCTCAACTAATTCATGTGAGACAGGCTACCTTTCACCAACATAGATACCGGGTAACCTTGTTCATAAAAACTTGGACAGATGGAATCATGGAAAGAAATCACCTAGGTTTTATTGCCTTCATTGGGCTTTGAACCCGAGACCTCATGGTTCTCAACCCACTTCATTAACCACTAGGCCATACATTTGGGTCCAAAATATGTACATTTAATGGGTAAGATGTTAGTTAGCTTCACCTTAGTTCCTGATGTGAAACTACACACAAGCATCTTCATTCAAATAATCATTAGATAGATATGTAGCATTCACTTCTGCTTGCACCAGATGTGTGTGCGAGAGGGTGGGAAAGGAAGGGCTTGGAATTGGACATAGATGAGAGTAAAAGATGTGTTCACAAGGATGCACAGATAAAGATGTTGGCTTCAGTTTATTTGAGCTGTAGGAACCAGTCTTTGCTGGTTTGTGGTGTGACCTCATAGGCTCGTAGCTCTTAAACTAAATCCGAAGTGAGCAGGAGAAGTTCAGGATTTCTTCTTTTGATACAAGTTTCTTGGGATTTCTTCTTTTGTAAATAATATTGGCAGAACTTATAAGAAACTCCAATATACACAGAAAATGGTAGATAGACTGGAAACCGGTACTTGTATGTATATGTTAAATCAGTTAAATAGGAAGGTTGAAGAAGAAAATTTGCTGGTTGAGCTTCTGAGGCTCAATTTCTCGATATCTAGGTTTAATGTGAGAAAATAGTAGTTTCTGACAATTAACTGGTGTATCATATAAATATAAAGTAGCTTCTGACAGTGAGCTGGTGCCTATGTATCATGTGTTTCAGATATATACTTTCACTGTTTATGTATCATATAACTTCCCATGCAAATTGGTACTCCTTGGGCTTCTGCGGACAGCATAGCTACATCTTCTCCTTAATCTTCTTATTATTAATATTGGAACTTTAGTGTTGGGATTGAAGTTGCATTTGCTTTCACTGAATGAACGTTCATAAGAAGTGTGTAATATAAAGGAAGTGTTTTCAGTATGATTTCATGCACTCTGTCTAGGCGAGACCTTGTAAACGAATCTAATCAGTCAATTGTCAAGAAGATTTTTATTCCCGTGTGACTACAGATCATGCGATTTTGTAATTACAATATCCATCATTTTCTCCTTTGGGAAGAGGTTTCATCCGTAGAATTGATTTCTTAATCTGTAAAGTTTTTAGGTGCTTCTTGTAATAACAACAATGTACCCAGTGTGATCTCATAAGTGGGGTCTGGGGAGGGTGAGGTGTACACATACCTTACCGTTACCTTTGTGGGGTAGAGAGGTTGTTTCCAACAGACCCTCGGCTTAGGAAAAACATTTTTCAAAACAACTTTACGATAGTTGCTGCTTATGATATTAATAAATAATCCAAACAGGAAAACTATTTTGTTCTTGAGTTTCTTATATCTGTTATTTGAAGTGATAAGTTGCTTGTGAAGGTGATGAAGCAACAGCCTGGCTACCATATTGCTTATTCTGACCTGTATTTTTTTTTTTGCATAAAATTTCAGATGATGCAGGGAAATATATGGATGTCCTCGAATGCCCAGGGTCATGCGCAGGGGATGACACTCATTCTCAGATTTCAAAAGCAGTCATCTTTTAGGAAACGCATGTTTGAATACAGAAATCCTTTGGAGCAACCGATTTCTAGCACAATGTTCAGAGGCCTTCATGTACTCCTTACTGATGACGATGATGTAAATAGACTGGTAACTAGAAAGCTCCTCGAAAAACTAGGTTGCCAAGTAACTGCTGTTTCAACCGGTTTTCAATGCCTGAGTGCTCTGGGCCCTTCACTAACAACCTTTCAAGTACTCATCTTGGATCTTCAAATGCCAGAAATGGATGGATATGAAGTGGCATTGAGGGTGCGTAAGTTCCGCAGCCGTAGTTGGCCGTTGATCATAGCCCTGACTGCTAGTTCAGAGGAACAGGTTTGGGAGAAATGCCTACAAGTGGGAATGAATGGTCTAATAAGGAAACCTGTTCTTCTACAAGGCTTGGCTGATGAACTTCAACGACTCCTTCAAAGGGGCGGCGGTGGTGATGGCTTGTGAGATGTTAGTACTAATGGTGAATAACAAACTTCAAAAGGTTCCTGGAAAAACATGAGAGGAGACTTTAATATATCATATAATACCCATATAGAGATAGCTTTACATCTTTGTTAGATGAAACAAGCTTCTTCCTAACCATGTAGCTACCACCAGTTTCCATTATGTAAGTATATAGGTCTGCTTGCAATTCAGTTCTCTTGGCTTATGTTGAAGTGAAATATGTCAAGATAGTGGTATGGGGGTTCCATCATTTTTTCCTCAGAAACAGAAGAATGTTACTGATTTGAAAAGAAATCTTTAATCCTTGCAAGCTTATACTTGTTCCTCACACATGTTAGTTTTGGATACAAACATTATAAACTTTGACTAGTGCTTTTCTTTTTTTCTTTCAAAAACCATGGTGATGGCGTCAGTGTGTGCTTACTTCGACTAGTTCATCGGGTACCTGCTACCTCCTCCACCAAACATGTGTATTGTGTAACACTATCTATCTAAAGTTCGACAAATCGAAA